ACGCAAGCCCCTCCACTCCAACCTCCTAGCCACAGGTCTGGCTCTGGATCCTGTGGCTGTTGCAGTGCTCATCTCCAGACAAGTGTTCCCACTGCAGGTGTGAGCTGGTGCTGTCATAGAGAAAGCAAGAACCTCTCTGGAAGGTACCTCTGCCAATCACCAGCATGTTCTGGCTGCCAGAAGTCAGAGGTGCCAAATTTTGTTTCCTGTTGCTAGTTGGTAGGTGTTAGTAGGAAAGTAGATCTGGAAGCATCAAGAACTTTGGAGGAACAGAGAGGAAGGAAAAAACAAATAGAAACTAAAGATCACTAAAATCAAAATGGAACAAAAAGTGAAGGGACTCAATGAATCAGGCATCTTTAGGCAAGCTACAAGGATCTGCACTCTGTTGAAGTGACCTGTGGCTTTCTCTTGCCTTCTCTGCAGCTGACTATCTTACCACGACCCTGTTGACTCAGTGCTGACCCTTGGTAACTGACCAGGATGCTAATGTGTTCATATACAGAGGAAGGCAGATGTGAAAGGGAAGAGTACTAACAATAATAGTAATCATGGAAATGTTTAGATACTGACAGGTAGCATACTAGGTGCTTTCTATAGATAGAGCGTTTCAACTCTCCCATTTTAGAGATGAGGTTCAGTGACTTACATGAGATCAGATCACGCAGCTATGATTCATACCTAGATTCATTTTTATTTCAAAACCTATAGTCATTCATAAGACACTGGGGGATAGGGGAGGCTAGGGGACTGTCTAGGGCGGGGGGGAAAAATGGACACATATGTAATACCCTTTGTAATAAAAAATTAAAAAAACAAAACAAAAAAAACCCTATAGTCATTGCACAGCATCGTACTGTCATCTACTCAAATCACCAAATGACAGCTCAGAGGTCCCCGAATAGAGAATTGAGGAAATACACGAAATGGTTCCAGCCACTTTGGGGATGTTTCTACCTAGATATTTGGACCAGCCTTTAAAATCCGAGCCCTGGAGTCTCCTGCTGCTGCGGCTCACAGCCCAGTCTGCTTCTGTCACTGCATGTTACAGTGATGCTTTTGTCTTTATACTAGAGGCCCGGTGCACAAAAATTTGTGCACTCAGGGGGAAGGGGGGTCCCTCAGCCTGGCCTGTGCCCTCTCGCAGTCTGGGACCCCTCGGGAGATAATGCCCTGCTGGCTTAGGCCTGCTCCTGGGTGGCAGAGGGCAGGCCCAATCCCTAGGTGCAGGCCCTGGTCGGGCTCAGAGCAGGGCCGATTCTGGAGTTGGGGCGCCACCCCCTGTCATGCACAGAGCAGGGCGGATCGGGAGGTTGCAATGCCACCCCCACTCACGCTCAGGGTAGGGCAGATTGGGGGGTTGGGGCCCCGCCCCCTGTCACACTCAAGGCAGGGTCGATGGGGAGGTTGTGGTGCCACCCCCTGTCACGCACAGAGCAGGGCTGATCACGGGGTTGGGGTGCCGCACCCTGTCACACAGAGCCGCAGGGCGATCAGTGGTTGGGGAGCTCCCCCGTATCAGGCACAGAGCAGGGCTGATCAGGAGGTTGGGGCGCCTTCCCCTGTCACAAACAGAGCAGGGCCGATAGGGAAGTTGTGGCCCCCCCCCCTGTCACACACAGAGCCGCAGGGTGATCAGGGATATTGGGCGTTGCCCCCTGTCGCGCTGATCCCGGTGCTGGGAGGTCTCGCGGCTCCGCTGATCCTGGTGCTGGGAGGCATATTACCTTTTTACTATATAGGGTAGAGGCCTGGTGCACGGGTGGGGGCCGGCTGGTTTGCCCTGAAGGGTGTCCTGGATCAGGGTGGGGGTCCGCACTGGGGTGCCTGGCAAGCCTGGGTGAGGGGATGATGGCTGTTTGCAGCTGGTCACACACCCTTCAGGGTGGGGGTCCCCACTGGGGTGCCTGGCCAGTCTGGGTGAGGGGCTGAGGGCTGTTTTCAGGCTGGCGGGTGACGGAAGCTCCCAACCGCTCCTTTTTTTTGTTTAATTCTGGGCCAGCTTTAGCTCTGAGGATCCAGCTCTTAGGCCTCTGCTGCTGAAAGTAGGTAATCAAAACAATGTATAACTCCAGCTCTGACTCCAGCTCTGAGATCCCAGCTCGCTGAAAGCTGGTTTCTGGGGTTTTGTTTAACTTCTATATTTGTTAAAATGTTTCAAACTGCAGGCTCAGAGGCCTGCAAGGCACGTGGGGAACGTTGGTTTCCTCCATCACTGAAGCAAGCAAGCCTCATGTTAGTTTCAAGTTGCCTGGCTACCGGCAGCCATCTTGGCTGACAGTTAATTTGCATATCTCGCTGATTAGCCAATGGGAAGGGTAGCGGTCGTACGCCAATTACCATGTTTCTCTTTTATTAGAGAGGATTCAGACCAGAGGCCCGGTGCATGAAATTCATGTACGAGGGAGGGGGTCGGTTCCTCAGCCCGGCCTGCAACAATGCCAGCGTCCCTCACCCCGGCCTCTGGCCAGAGGCCCCTCCTCTCCCTCTGCACAGCCAGGGCGCAGACGCTGGGCTCATGTTACCAGGGCGACAGCACCAGCATCCTGCCCCGGCCGCTTTGGGCGCTGCCATCTTTGTCATGGAGTGATGGTTAATTTGCATATTACTCTTTTATTAGATAGTATAATTGTGTAGCCTGATTTGTTTTCATCACTTTTATAAGGCATTCCAGACCTAGTTCCCAAATTCTGGGACCCTATTTGGTTCCAGTTATAGCCCATGCACTTGGTACTGTAATCTGACTCTAATGACTGGTCAATGAAATCTATTGACACAAAAGGAAATCTATTTAAAGGGCAAGGGATCATAAGTAATAAATCACCTTATAACAAACCACTCCATCCTACTTGTAGGGAGGGGATTCTTAACACAACAGGAGCTGATGAGGCACAATGTTTGAAACTAGATTCACAGTTTGTGAGAAAAGCAGTTTTAGCATTGACAACATCACAGAAAAGATTATGCAGAAACAAATAAAGGGAAAGAATTCTAAAACCAAAATCTGACTCAGTAAAGTACATATCTGAGAGGAAGTCATACAGCACGTCCTTAAAGAAAAGGCTGACAAGTGTTCACCCTAGATAAATCATGAATGATAAGGATTTAGTGATAAACCAGCAGAAATGAATTGTTTCAGTCCAGTGAGTCTAAGGGGGAACTAACAGGATAAAGTTTTGGAAAGCCATGTTTGCAAAATTATTTCTCAAAGTAAGAAAAAAACCAAGCTTGAAGCTGAAATTTCATCCCTAGAATAGAGGTAGATCTTATTCCAACAGCATCTGGGACTGTGTTCTCCAGAGAGAAAGTCTGTAACAGCGATGCTCAAGCTTTCGATCACAAGATCGCTTTACACACTTACTAGTAAAATCAGGCCCTCAAACAGCTTTTGTTTGAGTTACATCTAATGTTTATGTCAGCAATGAAAACAATTTTAAATATTGATTAACTTGTTTAAAAATAATGAATGCATTGTTTGTTAATATTAAAAACATTTAAATGAAAAAACTATTTCCTAAAACAAAACTAATGATTTTTGCAAGCCTCATTAATGTCTAGCTCTGGAAGACAGCTGGACCTGCCTACGTCTGCTTTCAGTCTGCTGACACATGTGTCTTTGGTTGAAGTACATGAAGAAAATCTGGCTTCACATAGATAGGTAGATGGAAAAGGCAGACATGTTTTAAAATAGCCTTTTCAGATAATTGTGGACATTCTTTAATATGACACTAAAATTCAACAAGTGATAGTTTCTTAAAGGTTACTAGTAGTTGCAACATACAGTCTGAAATCACAGCCATGAGTTCTGTTATACTAAAACCCACTGATCTATCTTGCACTTTGAATAGATCCTTTACCCATGCGTGATTTTTTAGCACTATATGCATTTGGTCATTTGGAAAATATTGGTTCACTGAACTGTACAGATCTTCCAAATGTTGAAGTACTTTGTCATGCAATTATAAAAAGAAATCCCATTAATAACAACAACAAAAATGTCTTCTGGGTTAGGAGCTGTGAAGCTCAAATGCCTAAGTTATCCAAAACTCGAATTTTCACCTGAAAAGCTTATTTTATCATTGTTAATAAATACAATCAATTGTTTTCCTGAAATGACAGGCTCACTCTAATCATTTTTGAGAAAATGTCCACCATATACCCAGCAATGGTGTTCCCCTAAGAAAGGCTAGTTTACTCCCTGCACAGTCACACAAGTGCTGTCCCTTGAAACAGTGTTGTGCTTTAGGATGCACCCCTCTGTGCGTGTTCTCACTGCCAGTGATGGGAGAGAATGTGGTGCAGTTAGGTACCACTGCCTGGATTTGTGCTAAGGTGACCACAGTTTTGCTCACAATACTTGTGTCCCATGAATGTAAATACCGACAAAGTGAAAAGGGCAAATAATGTCTTAATATTATTACAAAAATAACTTGGACTTTGTGGATTCCCGAAAGGTCTCAGGGAGGGATCTATGGACCACACTCTGATTACCAGTGTTCCAGAGTAACACCCAGAATGCAGCTGGGACCCCTCCCAGTCTAATTGCTAGGATTATAGGAAGCTACAATGAAAAATCAACCTTCGATTTAAATGTCACTCAACATTAGATATTTTTTAACCTGCAAACCTGATGGATTTGACAAATTCCACTGTCATTCTGGCCCCCAGAGAGTATGACCTGCCAAGTTTCTTGTACAGCCAACACCCGCCTACTTACTGGGTGCTGCAGCGGGATGCTTGGCATACAGCCCTCCCCGCCGCTTCCACCTGCTCTCAGTGGGCCAGGATCCCGGCTGTTCCCGTCGGGCACCTGCACGGTTATGTACTGGGCCAGGCTCTGCACACAGCTGCCGCAGTGCTCCAGCGCCTGCTGCTTGGACTCTCCACTGAACTGTACCCGGAACATGCGACTCTTGTTCTGTTTGACAAATAGAAAGTTATTCTAAGTGACCCTTGTCATATCACTGTACTTTTACTTACTGCAGGGTCTTCTAGTGAGCGCTTCCCTTTGCTCAGAGGGAAAG